CAGGCCCTCGTGCTTTTACCTTTTCTGCCTTAAAAACGCAGCCGGGCGCTGCGCTGTGGAAGGGGCTGGCGCGGGGAGCTGGCTGCGCGCGGCCGAGCGCCAGCGGAGCTGGGATGTGTTGCCAGCTGGTGAGCAGGTTGCTGGATGGAAGTCCCCGTTATCCTCCCCGCTTTGCAAATGGGGAAACCAAGGCAGAGAGCTGGGAAAGGCAGAATTCCTAAAGCACGTGGACCCCTTAGCCCTGGGCGCTTGCAAGGACACCCGTGTCCCGTAGACCCCAGCGCTGTTTCCCCAGGGAGCCGGAGCTGCTCGTCCTTGCTTACGTTAACCCGCGCTCCTGCCGACGGCTCCGCGTGCCCCGTTTCCCACCCGCGCCGGCTCCCGGGGCCGGGCGGCTCCGGCGTCGCGTTTGCAGCACGTTTCTTTGCAGGAGGGGAGAAGCCTTCCAAGAATCCCCACCTATTTCCGCAATAAGGAGCCCTTTGTTTCCCGCGTGCACAATGCAGCTTTATGCGACTCTCGGCAAGCGCAGCCGGGCCGGAGGTGCGAGGAGTGCGCGGGAGGAGCGGGAGCAGAGCGCGTCTGGGGGGTTTATTCCCTGGCCGGGAAGCGGGGTTAGGGCTTTGCTGTCACATGTCCCCAGGGATGCTCGTGGTGAGCTGGGGTGTCTCTGGCCTCGATGCTGCCAAGCGCTTCTTCTCACCTCCAAATTGGTGCCGGTGGGCAATGCTCTGCAGGCGCCGCCGTCCCGGGAGCGCCCCGGGTTAGAGCGGGGTGCGAGGAAGCATCCAAGGAACCGGGATGTCCGCAGCAGCCAGGCCACGTGCTTCAGTACGCAGGAGAGGTGGAGGGACACGTGGCGAGGCCGGGAGGTGACGTGGGCACCTCCTCCGGCTGCGCGGAAGCCCAGAGGGTCTTGTCTGGCCCCAGGGATGTGGGAGAGCTGCGCTCGGCGCTCGTGGTGACGAAGCCCCGTATCCTGCACAGCATCTGTGCCCAGTCCCGGTCCCGGTCCCGGTCCTGGTCCCGGTCCCGGGTGGCCGCTCTCGGCACAGACCCCTCCATTCACGCCACCCGCTCCCACTCCCTTAATTTGTTGTGGTCGAGGTGAGTAATAGCTGCTTTGTGCGGAGGCGAGGGAAGGAGGAAAGAGCCCCGCGCGCAGACAGCGGCTCCAGTGTTTTCCGAAGGGGATGTTCCCCCCCTCCGCTCTCCCTCTCTTTGCCTTGAATAATGTTTTTGATTGTAGCAGCCTGTCCCGGTCCGGGAAACCCGCGGCCGCTCCCCCTTCCCTCCCCTCCTCTGCAAACCGCGGCAGGAGTTTAAACAAGCCGGGGAGATTTTCTCACCAGTTTTATTTTACTAATAGGAAACAAGTGTTTCGAGCGGCAAAGGCACCAAATCCCTGACTTTGCAGGGTGGCTTGGGAAGCCTTCCGATGGGAAGAGCCGAGGTTACCAGGATGCGCGAGGGACCAACATCCTCATTGTGCTCAAAATACTTCCCCGGGCCCCAGACAAGTCTCTTCTCTCCATCTGTTGCTCCCAGGGCTGCAGCTTGTGCTGATTAAATGAGCTCGAACTCTTTGAAGGTGGAACCTGCTCTGCACATGTTAAATGTTAGGACAAATAGTCCCCAGGCGAGATGCTCTTCCTTTGGAAAGACTTATCTTTAATAACGTCTTTCTTTTTCCACCTCCCCAGCAACTTATCCTTGCATGTCCTTTCCACCTAATGCATTTATATTTTATATGTTTATATAAAATTTAACGGTTATTATTTATTTGGGTAGGAACTTGGCCATCGGGATTGGGATCCAGAACTTCCCCGAAGGACTCGCCGTGAGCCTCCCGCTGCGCGGCGCCGGCTTTTCCACCTGGAGAGCCTTCTGGTAAGCAGAGCTCCTCAGCAGCCCGTGCCCCGGGCTTGCTGCTGCTGGGTGGGCAATTCCCGTGCTCTGGAGAGCTCTGCTCATTGCAATGGATGCAGAAGGGAAGAAAACCCCGGGGAAAAGCAGGATTTCGTCCTGTCATCCCTCCGCGGCTGCGCGGACAGGACGAAATCCTGCTTTTCCTCAGCCTGTTTGAGCTCTTGGAGGACTTTGCAGCCCCCGTGTGGGGTTCCCAGCGGTCTGAGCCCGGTGTCCTTTGCAGGTTCGGGCAGCTGAGCGGGATGGTGGAGCCCTTAGCGGGCATCTTTGGTGCCTTCGCCGTGGTGGTGGCAGAGCCTCTTCTCCCCTACGCCTTGGGCTTTGCTGCTGGAGCCATGGTCTACGTGGTCATGGATGATATCATCCCCGAGGCACAAACCAGGTGGGAAACCCCGGGCACCAGCCCTGAATACCCTTAAATACACGGGGAAATGCAGAGAAGGACATCCCAGCTCCTCGGAGCTCACGGCCTGCCCTTTTCTCCTTGCAGTGGCAATGGGAAGCTGGCTTCCTGGACCTCGATACTGGGATTTGTGGTGATGATGTCCCTGGACGTTGGGCTCGGGTAATGGCAGGTCACCACTCCCCGGGAGAAGACTTCAGAGCAATTTCTGTGGCGGCACTTGGAACTGGACACATTTAAGACTTTTTTTTGTATATATTTTTTGATCTGATTTGGTGTTGATTACCTATAATTTTATATATCTTCCCCCCATAACATAATTGTTGAAGGTTTTCAAAGCACAAATATGGGTGTCTTCTGGCAGGTCCTGGTTTCCTTTTGCCACCAGATTTTCTTTTTTTCTCGGCAGGGTTGTCGACAAGACGCATTGACTGGGCTGCAGGGTGCAATTTGCTTTCCCTTCAGCTCCTGTGTTGTTTCTCTAAGCCAGGTCGCTCTTGGCTTTGATCATCTTTGTTCTGTAGAAGATTAGAAATCCACTGTCGAGTGTTTACGCGGCTCTGTGGTTAAGTACCCAGGCGTATGAATGGAGTCAACTCCTTGAAGAGTCTCAATTTCCACTCTTGGTTTTGAAGGCAGGTGGAAGGATTATCCCAAAGGTAACGCAGGCAGTGCTTTGTGGAGTAGCAGGTCTAATATATCCTGCTGATCCTTGGGAATTTTTTAGGGTGCTGGTTGTTTTGATGGATGCAAATTGTCCAAGTGAATAAAAAAATGGATTTTCCTAGTATGCCTGCAAGAGGGAAATGTCTTTTTTTAAAAAAAAAACGTTGCCCAAGGGGAGCTTTGCTGCAGTGCAGTGTCCAATCCTTAGGGGGTTTCTCCTTAAGGAAAGCAGGATGGAGGAACGGGCCTGTTTTGCAGCAGCAGCCCGGGAGTGCAGTGCGCTCGTGCGCGTTGCTCGCGGTGCGCTCCGTGCTTGGCGCATGCCAGGGCTCGTCCCAGTGCCCGTGATTCTAGTGTTACTGGGCAGCGGCTGTTTTATGGCTGCTGTTTTGGTTACTAACCCTCTGCTTTACTGCAGAGCTCTGCCAAGTGCAGGCGCGAGGTTGACCTGTTAGCCCTTGGCCTCTGCGATGGCCTCTGGAGAGCTCGGAGCTAAATCAGACGTGACCGAGGGTCCAAGTGGGACCTTGGCAGCTCTTAACAGCATCAGGGTGAATACTTTATCAGGAGGAATGAACTACCCGACCTAAGGAGCCAGAAACACGCACTGTGTCTATCTGGCCCTTCACCCATCTGCTCGAGCATCCTTGGCCTCCCAGGTGTGCCAGGCTCGGTCCTGCTTGGCTCCCGGGGCACCTGGGGGACCTGGGGCTGCGCACCCGGGAGGTTATAAACATCTTTATGTTATAAACATCTTTACGTTATAAACATCTTCAGATCTCCCCTAGGACAGAGGTTGCAGGAAGGCAGCCCAAGGGAGCAGGATGGCTGAACTTGGTTTACGCCATGGCATTTTGTTTGGTTAGTTTTTTGGTTGGATTTCATTTGTATTTCATGTGTACATCAATCTGGATGATACAAAAGTGCTGTTTGCAAATGGATTGGACCTTTTTACTGTGATTGGCTTCAATAAACGGGAAATTTGGAGTTTGGATTGCTTGGGTTGGATGCGGTGTCTCTGTGCCTTTCCTTCTCCCCTCTCCCTTTCCCTGCCTTTCGTTTCTCCAGCTCAGTTGCTCTTGGCTTGACAAAGGTCCTGCCTCTCAACTGGAAGGGTAGCCTGTTTTATCTGAAAAAAAGAAAATGAAAGGAAGAAGACAAAGAAATCCAGCTCTACCCGACTCCTCCAGGCACAGGGTGTGTGTGTTGTAGCCCTCACTGGAATTCCTGCAGCAAAGCAGCCAGGTCCAGCTCCTGACCTGAGTAAGTGCATTATGACTCAGAAGAAACCACCTTGGCAACTCCCTCGAGAAAAGAGCAGCTTGCGGTTCTCCCTGCTCCACCTGGAGGGTTCGTGTGCATCTGCTGCATACCTGCATGCAACGGTGCGTGCATGCACCCGCATGCACCCTCATGCAACGGTGTGTGCATGCACCTGCATGCACACGCTGGTGTTGCTTCTGCTGCAGCTGGCGCCAGCCCCAGCTGAGGCTGCTGCGTTTATGGTTGGACTGGGTGATCTTGAAGGTCTTTTCCAATCATAATGATTCTGCGATTCTATGATCGCATGATCCCGTGGCCTCCACTTGACTGCAGGGAGAGTGCAGGGATGGAGGTGGCCGTGACGTGCCACGCTGAGCGCTGCAGTCCCAGAAGGCAGGAATGGAACCAGGAGGGCAACGTGTCCTCTTGCTCTGGGAAGTCTTGGGGATCTGATCCCTGCCTTCCCTGGGAAGTGCAGGGACGTGACAGAGCTGCTCCAATCTCCAGCTCCACTGCAGAAGGACTTGCCATGACCACTGCACCATGAGGACGTGCGCCCAACCCCTTGCAGCACGTGGCTCCGTGCAGGGCTGGGGACATCCAGCAGGAAAAGCACCGGGCATTGGGACTCCAAAAACAGCAGGTGAGGCCGGTGTCGCTGCCTTCCCGGAGGCTGCAGCATGGGAACCCGCTTGGAGAACAAAAGCTCTTTGTCCCCGCAGGTGAGCCCTGCCCGGCGCTGGGGATGCCCTTCGCAGCCCAAAACCTTCGCGTGACACTCGGAGGCCCTGGGGGTGTCCGCGGGTCAGGCCGGCTCGCGGCCGCGCGTACGTAATGTTTGCTTGTTTGATTTCTGGCGTGTGGTGCGAGTTGGTACAAAAAAACACGTTATGCATCTGAAGGCAACCTTGTAATCAGATTGCTGGGAGATAATATCGCGTAATGCATTTAATCTCACTTAGATGTAGCCAGCTGAGAGAATTAAGTACCTTGGACCTGTAGGAAGCGAGTGGGAAGGGCGGGAGGGTGATACAGAAAACATATGTGAAAATCCCTCTTTTCTGCTTGCACCCCGGGGTGAATGGGGTCGGATATCCACTGCTCGCTGTGACTGAGCAGTGCCGGCAGCACCGGGATGCGGCCGGAGAGGTTCCTGTCCCTGCGCTGCCTTCCCTGGGCTTCCCAGCAGGGAGAGGGTGACTGGTGGGAAGAGTCAGTGTTAAACTGTGGTATCCACACGGGTGAGTTCTCCCCCACTTGTACTTTTTTGGTTCAGCATCAAACCTGCAAAAACTTCAAGTTGTCGGGTTTTATCTTCAAACAGAAACAACTTTTGCATTTGCTGGAGAAAAACTTAAAATGCATCCAAAACCTCAAAACCGTAAAAGTAAAGAAAAAGGGCTTTTCTAAATAGAGTGCGTGCACTCTTCCACTGGGTTCAAGAATAATCCTAAACCTCAGGTAGGTTTGTGGGCTGCATGAACGTCCCCGCGCTGGGGACACGGGGCCGGGCAAGGTGTGTTGCAAGGTGCAGGTGTGAAGCACCCTGGGCCAATGGGAGCAATTTGGGGACCTGGCAGCATCGTGTCCTGCAGCAGGGAGACGCGCTGGCCCTTTGCTTTTGCTTGGATTCCATCTTGTTGATCCTTCCTGCTATCCAAGGGCTGGAGGAGGCCTTGGAGAGGATCGACTTTGTCTCCTGAGCTGGTGACAACCCCTGTCTTGTGCAAGCGGTGACAGTGACATCCAAAGCCGCCCAAACCCAAAGACATTGAGTTTTCTTCCAGGACATACATGCTATTCTCTCCTCTCAAGTGCAATGGTGCAAAGGGAAAGCATCAACCCTCTGCTCCCGGGTAATCCACCTCTGCTCCAGAAAATCCATCTGTTGTGGTCCAATGTCCGTGCTGCTCCCGATGTCCGTGCCGTTCCCCATGTCCGTGCTGTGCCTGCAGGGCGCAGCGAGGTCGGAGCAGCAGC